CACGGGGAGTGCCCCGCCCCCGCGCACGTCGCCGCCGCGCCGGCCGTTGGCCGTTAGCCGTTGGGCGGGCCGTTAGCGGCGCGTGGCCTCCTCGCCTCGTCTCGCCTCGCCTCGCCTCGCCTCGCCGCGCCGCGCCGCGCCGGTCCCGCCGGGAGCCTCTGCCCCGTGTGGAGCGGGGCCCGCGCGAGCCCCGCGCCGCGGCCGCTGCTGCTGCTGACTCAGCCCGCCGCCAGGGCGCCCTGTTCCCCGTGACCGTGCGTCACGTCGCCCTGTTCCAGTAACRGCCCTTTGTGTCTCCCCTTCCATGGTTTCGCCACCCAAGCAGTGCTGTTTTTMGGAACGCTGGGACTCCCTGGCTGCATCTTCCCTCCTGTTCTGGAAGGAGGCTGCACATGTGCTAGTTGATGCTTTTTTTTTTCTTTGTTTCCTTTTTTGGTGCTGTTTGTGCTGTTTCGATGCCTTGTTTTATTCTCACGCTTTGAAGCGGAGTGCTTGTGACTCATTTCAGGTGGGAGCCGTCCTGATTTCCCCTCCGGGCTTGTGCCAAACCATCGCTGTCATCCACGCAGGTTCCTCTGCTCCTCACCGTCCCGGTGATTATCAAAATCACAAGCAATGGGAGCCCAGGAGCTCTGCCCGGACRTGGCTTTTCTCCCTGCACTCGCTGCTTTTCTGGTACAAGGGAGGGTGACCTGAGACATGTGGGCAGAGGCCACTGTGTCAAACCTGCATACACCTGAACTTAGGCCTGAAGTGCTTGCTGACGCTTTAGCCTGGGGACCCCTCTTGGGCTGCCAAACCTCTGTCTGGGTGTTTAATTCTGCACCTTGTTGCCTACCCGCTCCCAGGCCACCCGGTCACGCTCAGCTTTCATCACGTAACTCATGGCTCGAGGGTTTTCCATGTTTGTTGCCCCATGTATTAACCTCATGCATTGAATAGCTGGGCAGAGGCCGAAAACCTGCATGTGATCCGTGTGGCACAGATGGAAGGGAAGGGAGGAAGGCAGGATTCCCACTTGCCCCTTTTACCAGTCATACCAGGCCAAGCGAGCTATGCTGCTGAGCAAAAAGTGCAGTGTAAAAAGTGTAATGTTTTTTTTCCAGTGTGGGGCAGATCAGTGATCTTTCCTTGGGATTAACAACGAGTTGAAGGGAATGATCCTTCCTCCTCCTTGAGCTGGCAGCTCTTCCCGACCTGTCATCAGGAGATAACTCATCAGCAAATAGCTGGCACTGGGCTTTTCACCACCATTTCTGGATAAGTTTTCTTGTGTTGAAGACTTAATACCCACCTCCTTGGGGCTAGGCCAGCTTAGATTCCTTTGGCAGTGCCAGTAAGGATGAAGGGAGCCAATGTGCGAGTTATTCCCTTAGCGCTGGTGCAGCTACTTCTGCTATGGGGCAATGGGAGCACAATCCATTTTCATGTAAGACATGGTGTAAAGTATTTCCATGCAATCCCTAGTCTCTCATGGGAGAAGAAATGGGCATGCCATCCATTTAGGCTGTTAATGTGATTGTTCACGTTCTG